TATTTGCTTCATTATCGGGTAAGAAAAACTAGAAGGGCATTTGACTTTTATTTGCTTCATTATCGGGCATTTGACTTTTATTGGAAGACTATATGCCAGCTTTGTCATTGTCTTTCTCCTTGTCAATGGGCATGTGCTAATTAGAAAACTTAGAATATGTTTGGTTTGAGATAAAGGAAGGAAGCAAAAGGAAGGGATTAATTTTTTAATTAATCAAATTATAATATTTTTAAATAATATAATTTGATTGATAAAAAAAAAAATTCTATTCTTCTCTTCATTTCCTTTTATTTTTCTGAACTCAAACATGTTATTAATTATTATAATATTTTTAAATAATGTAATTTGATTGATAAAAGAAATCTATTCTTCTCTTCTTCCTTTCTATTTCTCTAAAACTAAACATATTATTAATTAGTGCGGTGTCTAACCATGATTGGGGATTTTTATTTTTATTTTTTGAATAGTTAAAAATTTGGGAGATATAGCCTAAAGCCTACAGGTAAAATACTCACGCAAGATTCGAACCCCACTCTTCGTTAGCTGAATTGCGCACTTAACCAGACGGGCTAGTTCCCCAAGTGCATGATATGGGTTTTTTCTTGCGTGAGGCAAATCAACTTGACCTTGCGAGCATTCCTCTCTCTCTCTCTCTCTCCGTAGGACAATTTAAGGGAATTGTTCTCATGGCAACAACACTATAAAGCAATACCCTTCCATTAAGTTCTTATAACAATTTCCTTCTGTCTTGAACCACTATTTCAGTGAGGAAAAACACTGGCCATGATCACTTCCATTTTCACTCACATTCTTCTCTTTCTGGTTCACCTATTTTCTCATGAAATTTTATTCCTCCAAGCAAGTCAATCTGATCCCTATTCAACCAACTTCACCACAACTTGTTGGGAGGTAGAGAGGAATGCACTTCTCAAATTTAAAGCAGGTCTTAAAGATCCTTCAGGCCGTCTTTCTTCTTGGGTTGGGAATGATTGTTGTGCATGGCAAGGTGTAAATTGCAGCAAGCAAACCGGACATGTCACAATGCTTAATCTCAGGAACCAACCTAGTGGTGATTTGGCACCCTTGCAAGGTAAGCTAGATCCTTCATTGCTTGACTTGAAATATTTAAACTACTTGGATCTAAGCTTGAACAATTTCGAACACACTCCAATTCCAAACTTTATTGGTTCATTCACCAAGTTGAGCTACCTTATTCTCTCTAATGCATCTTTTGCTGGATTGATTCCTCCTCATCTTGGGAATTTGTCAAATTTGTGCTACCTTGATCTCTCGTGGAACAATTTTCTTTGGGTTTCCCATTTGAATTGGATCTCTGGACTCTCATTGTTGAAAAACCTTTTTCTAATTGGTGCAAATCTCAATTTAGCAGCAACCAATTGGTTGCAAGCTGTAAACATGCTTCCTCTCTTGGTGCAGTTGCATATTCCTTACTGCAATCTCAATGACCTCCCTCCTTCTCTTCGAGTCGTGAATTTGAGTTCAATTGAGGTCGTCAATCTTCAAAGTAATAATTTCAATTCACCATTACCTAGTTGGCTATTCAATATCAGTACCCTTGTTGAGCTTGATTTGTCATATAGCGGAATTAAGGACACTCTAGACAATGTTGATGCTTGGAAAAATCTCTGCAACTTGAAATTCTTAGCTTTGTCTGGCAATGATATGTCTGGAGAAATAGTCAAACTAGTGGAGGGGTTGTCAAAATGCAGCAACAATAGTTTGGAAGTGTTGGATTTGAGTACCAATGGGTTTGTTGGGCCAATACCTCCATCCTTGGAAAATCTTAAGAACATGAGGTATCTCTCTCTTTCTTGGAATTATTTCTATGGTCCTTTACCAGTTTCTATTGGAAACCTATCATCCTTGAAGGTATTACACCTTTCTTCCAACAAATTGGGAGGAACAGTTCCTGAAACTGTTGGACAGTTGAAAGAGTTGTCTCTTTTATATCTTGGTAGTAATAATTGGGAAGGGGTTGTATCTAGGATTCATTTTCTCCACCTAAAAAATCTGAAAGATTTTGCTTTATCTTCTAATCATGTTGGAGAAAAGTCATTGACATTCCATGTGGGACATGATTGGGTTCCTCCTTTCAGTCTAAATTCCATCATAGTTGTTAACTGCCAAATGGATCTCAAATTTCCTGCGTGGTTCCTAACTCAGAAGGAACTGGCCTACGTTATCCTTTGGAATATCAACATCGAAGATTTTGTACCTGAATGGTTTTGGAAACTAAGTCCACAGATTGAACTTTTAGTTCTTTCCAATACCAGATTACGTGGAAAGCTTCCAAAATCATTAAAATTTGCACCAGGCTCAAAGGTAGCATTGAGCTTTAATTTATTTGAGGGACCGATTCCGCATTTTTCCGATGTCACCTATCTTTGTTTGAAGAAAAACTTACTCTCTGGACCCATTCCAGAAAACTTTGGCCAGGATATGTTGTATTTGCGTTATATGGATCTTTCTGAGAACAACTTCAATGGCAACATTCCTTCTTCCATAAGCATGTTGAAGTATTTAGAGATATTAGATCTTTCTAAGAACAACTTCAGTGGTAACATTCCAAGCTCATTTTGCTCCCTACAGTCTCAGCTTTTATGTTTGAACTTGAATGACAACAATCTTTATGGAAAGCTTTCATCCCTACGTAACTGCAGCAAATTGTTGCAACTTAATCTTGCAAATAATCAATTCCATGGAGGCGTTCCAAGATGGATTGGAGAAAGTCTACCGATGTTGACATTACTAGGGCTGGGAGGAAACATGTTCAGGGGAAAGATACCAAAAAATTTGTGTTTCCTTTCTAATCTCCATGTTTTAGATCTGAAGCAGAATAGTTTATCAGGTTTGATTCCGTCATGTCTAGGAAATCTAAGCAACCTAGTGAATGGTTCTTATAATCTGGGATTCGATTACATGCACTACTTGAGTATGGACCTTATCATTAAGGGACAGAGGCTTAAAATTATCAATAAACCACTTGCTCTAGTGACCTTGATAGACTTGTCAAGAAATAATCTTGAAGGAGAGCTCCCGAAGGAGATAACACAACTTTACAATTTGGTTTCTTTGAGTTTATCTCAAAACAATTTAACAGGAGAAATTCCAGAGAAGATTGGAGCCTTGAGGCTGTTAGAAACTCTTGACCTCTCAAACAACCGTCTTTCAGGTTCGATTCCAGCAAGCATGTCATCTATGACATTCTTGAGCCATTTGAACTTGTCTTATAATGATCTTTCAGGATCAATTCCATCAACAAACCAGTTCCAAACCTTCAATGATCCATCCATTTTTGAAGGAAACCCAAAACTTTGTGGGGCTCCATTGCAGATCAACTGTTCAATACACAGAAGTGATGCTCCGGATGACAAAACTGACAAGGGCAGAAACGGCGAGAATATTTGGTTCTACATAGGAGTGGTGTCTGGATTTGTGGTGGGATTTTGGGCTGTCTTGGGAACTTTGGTGATCAAGAGGTCTTGGAGACATGCTTACTTTCGGTTTGTGGAAGAAATGACAGACAGGATCTGCGTCTTCACTGTAGTGAAGGCTACTTGTTTGCAGAAGATGCTGAAGGGTGAAAGAAGCTGAGACAATATATGGCAAAGGTACATATATAACTTTCACTTCTACTTACACATAGTACTTGTATAACCCATTTTAAATTATAAGCTTTTGTTTGTTCTTTCAGACAATAAATTGAGGTCTTCGAGGTTTATCAATTATACTCCAAAAAGCAATTTGGACTGCTGCAAACTATACTGTCTTCCTTGAAGGCTTTGGATTATGAAGACAGATGACTAGTTTGGTGGATGTTTACTTTGTGATGCCAATAATAATAGGCTAACATCAGCCTTCATATTTTTGTTGTTTTTGTTGTTTTTTTTGTCACGGAATGTCTATGTTTTCCATCCGCTGTTATCTGGTTTGGAGTATCGATGAAAAATGTCTTGTTTATGTTATTTTGAACTATTGAATTTGATGTTTTGTGTGATTCTTATGCAACCTAAGTTTATTCAATTTCTTAAAAAGCAAGACATAAAAACGGTTTTTTTTTTTAATGAAAAAGCATTGCTATGTTAGATAAACTCTTATTATTTTAATTTCTTGCCATTGAAGGGGCCAGTTTGACGGCCTAAACTAGCTTTCATTTCATCTCTAATTAATGTACTACAAATTATATGAAGAGATCATTTTCTACCTCTCCATAAAGAGAATAATTTATTATAGTTTATTCTGAAATTGATATCAGCTCCTACACTCTTCGGAATCCTAAAGGACGATGGTCTGCCAAGCTCAAGATTCGTAGATTTCTATAGATCATGAAGTACCAATAATCCACTCTTAAGAAAAGAAAGAGTGCTCATATATATATTTTCAGGCAGATTTCTATTCTACAGTTTAGAAAGTTTTCTTTTCTAATCCATTATATAGATGCAGTAGAGAAGGATATGTTTTGTTCGCACGAAATTACAGCGAGAAAGACTTGAATTTTGCTTTTTTACCAAAACACAGATTTTTCTTTTCATTTCATACTTATATATCTCCTTCAGTACAATGGGATTATATTAAGATTGCAATCTTGAAAAAAAGAGTACAGGGCCAAACTATTGTACCTACTCTAATAATGAAATCACGGATTATAGAATAACAGCCTCATTCTGTCCCTGCTAATTAATAAGCGGTCTTTTGACTCTTTACATTACAAAAGTGATCTTCAACAGAAAAAATTAAACTTAATTCCAATTTCGTTTTGGACATACACAGTTAACTTGTTCATTGGGAACAAAAACAAAGAATTTTTTTTTTTAATAAAAACATTGGGAGTAAGTTATTTAACACTTCAAATCAAAAGACGCAATCTTAAATGCAAAAGACACGTTTATTAAGTTTTTGGGCCTAGACATATATTCTCTACTCTTTTAACTTGTTTTCCTCTTATGTGAAATTTTTATACTTAAAACTGCTTTAGTGTCTCAAATGCAAACCTTTTTATTGTGACAATAAGTAATACCATTTAGAAAGTCTATTCCTACCTAGTTTCGTTTGATTTTTATGATTGGACTAAGGAGCTAATAATCTTTTATCAACCAAACAAGCTTCAAAAGGAATTTCCCTATTGCAAAAGCTAAAGCTTACACAAAAGTAATTAATTCTAATTTATTATGGTTATTTTATAAGAATTTATGTTAGAAACTTAAATTAGATTCCAATTTCATTTGAACACTCATGATTAGCTTGTTCATAGGGTAAGAAAAACAGAGAAAAGCATTTAGACTTTCATTAGAAGACTTGAGGAAATCATCGGTGTTCTTTCCAATGGATGACAGTATTTTTTATTGCGTTTGGTAAAAAGTGAACTTGACATTGTGAGCATATTGTTGGAAATTTTATGTGGGTTTCTATTAATTGTATTTGGTTTTTAAAAATTGAGTTAAATGAAAAAATTAGTAAAGCCTAATAAAATTATGTGATCAAGTGGGTTTAAGTTTTATCTCAATTTTGCATGATGTGAGGGGTGAGTCTTGGGTACAGATATATCTGTTACTTGTAAGTATTTTACCTATTTGGGTAAATACCTTACTCAAATTAAAAAAAAAAAAATTAGATAAGTAATGAATATGAAAATAGTATATCTATGAGTATAAAGTCAAGTAATAAGTATAAATGTTAATAATTGTTTCCCTCATCTGTTTAACCATTTTATTTAATTAATATGTTACCTATATATGTATAATTAAAATTTGATTAAAACCCCAATTTGGTATCTCTACTTGGGCAAAAACACCCTTTTTAGTCCCTCTACTTAAAAAAGCCTTTTTTTGGTCCTAAAGTTTAAAATCCGATCCTTTTTAGTCATTTCGTTAAGTTTTGACGTTGCATGACGGAAATTGCAAAGGAAAGGGACTAAAAAGTGGCCTTTTTCCAAAGCAGAGGGACCAAATTGAGGCTATTTAGCCCCTTTTTAACCTCTCTTTAATCCTCTACTTTGAAATTTTCGTCATTTAACGTGCCATGTAGGTAAAACTTAACGGAAGGACTAAAAAGAGATCAGATTTCAAATTTTAAGGATAAAAAATGAGTTTTTTTTACGTAGATGACTAAAAAAGGGCTTTTTATCAAAATAGAGGGACCAAGATGGGGATTTAACCTTAAAAATTTTATATATACTTATTATATTTAATATCTATATAATAATAATGATTTTAAAAAATAAAAATAATAAAATACAAAAATAAAAATAAAAAAATCATACATGCCACCTATGAATAAAAAATCTTAATTAAACATATATTACACATGAAACCAACAACTTTTTCCCTTCGTTGTACTCTTAGGCAATGTTGAGTATTTATAACTTCAAAGTTTAATTCATTTTAGCTTTTTTTTTTTATATAAATTTTTTTATTAGTGATTTTCAAGTCAAATCTTTATTCATTATACAGATTATTTTTTAACTTCAAACTTCAAATTTAATATGATAAGAAATTGTAAGTCAAAAACATGGATATTAGAATGTTAAAATAGATACAATACCATCAGTTATTATTTCTTATTAACAAACTAAAGTAAAGGATTAGGGACATTATGAGTCTAGGAGATTGTGAGTCCAGGACATTATGAGCCTAAAAACGTGGACATCTTTTTTTAAGGACTTTCATTATGTTATTTAATTTATTTTCATATTTTATTTTTTGGGTACATTTTTTTTGTTCTTTATTGTTAAGTATATAATTGAGTTTAGTTGTTTAATAGTACATAGATTTGAGTTTTTGATATGAAACTGAATTTTAGTTTTCTATTGTTATTTTAGATTATGTTTAAGTTTAGATTGTAATAAATAATATTTTATTAAAATTTTATTAGTTTTATTTAAGTTTAGTTTGAAAGTAAATAATATTTTATTAAATTTTAATTTAAAAAAATTTAAAGCAAAACATCATTTAATAAGTACATAAGTATATATTCACAAGTTACTTGACATCTGTTGGGTTAAATATCAAGTATAGATCTTCAAATATTTGGGTAAGTACCAAGTTTAAAAAACTGTATCCAAAAATTTTCAAGTCAAGTATCAAATATATTTCATATATGACCTGTACCAAAAAATGCTCACCCTTAAATGTTATATGAACATGTGTAAGATCTGAAATTAAATGTGAGTTACTTGATGAGGTGTCCAAAAAATTATTTAGGCCCCTATTCTATTTAGAAAACCTTACCTCTATAAATAATAGAGTTAAGGAGTAGCATGTCTTATTGATTATCACTGTATAAAAGTTAAATAAGGAGAAAGATTTACAATACTAATTATATTTGTTTTGTAAGTTTTTATCTATAATGATCCTTGACATATTAATTATGAAGATTAAGATATAGAATTTATTTTATTTTATTATATTTTAGTATTCTAAAGTCTATATACGTCAATATTTAAAATTCTAACACATATTACCCTCTTTCTCTGCACGGGATCGACCATTTTAGGACTGGAGCTATTTTTTCCTATGCACGTTGTTTTGTATGAAAATGTTGTGTATGTATATACATATATCTAAATCATTTTCTAAAAATTTATAGGTAAAACCTCCAGGAATTTAATGCCAAACTAGAGAACTCATTATTCTACCCTGAAGATTCCCAAATAAGTATAGGAAATCGTATTTTCCTTTAGGTTAAAATATTAATTTGGTCCTTCAATTTCTAGATTTACATTGAAATTCTTCTTAAATTTTAAAAAATACAATTATCCCTAAATTCTAATTTTTAGTACCATAATGATCTTAAGTTTAAGACATCAGAACTAACTTAACCCTTAAACTTTGAAGTTTGAAGATAAGAATCAATGGAGTTCTTAAACTTTAATTGCAAATATCAAATTCTTCTTTCAACTTTAATTACATATCAATCTAATATATAAATATAAATATGTTACAATAGCAAAATATGACTATTTAATTTCACATGTTATTAATATTTTTAAAAAAGAGCTGATTTTATGATAAAATTACAAGTCACTTGGCACTTCTATTAACAAATGGATTATTTTGGTACTAAAAATTAAAGTTTGAGGATAATTTTAATATTTTTTAAAGTTTAAAAATAATTTCAATACAAATCTAAAAGTTCGAGGAACCAAATTGATATTTTAACCTTTGTTTTACTGAGGTAAGTCCATCATTGTGGGAGCAGAAAAGGGCGTGGGTGTTCACCCTGCGCGTATGAGCTTCTTCAACAGGTTTCACGGATGTGGATTGCGAAGAAGATGATTTCGAACGCTAAAACATAACAGGAATTCCAAAGTGTGCTGCCGTCGTCTTTACTGCTTCCCGTCGGTACTTTGATTTGGGTGTAATTTTGGGGGAGATAATTGTCGTCATTTGAATCTATGGAGGACCCTGATTCTGCTACGGGCACTTCGTCTACCGCCTCTGTCGTGTTTCTGATTAAGAACTACGTATGCTGCAAGGATTTATGGCACTAATTAGTACATCAGATCTTCCATTGCATTGCACTTGCAGAGAAAACTGAGTTGAGTGAGAGTCTCTTCAGTTCTGACTTCTGAGACCCAGAGTCCGCGGAGACGGAAGTACTCGTGGGCTGGGTTTCGCTTTTTTTTTTTTCAATAACATATACAAATTTGGGAGGGGAATTCGAACCAGCACTTAAGGCTGGGGAACACTTTTCTTAAGGCTTATAACTCAATCGGAATTAAAAAATAATTAAATGGAGATTTTATTGTTTTTGCGTCTGTTTGCTCAAATTTTTAATGTCTTGTTTGATTAATTATAATTATTTTTTAGTCAAATTATAAATATTATACGAGATTGAAAAACTTATTTTACAAATTAGGAATTGATATTAAATCTTCATACATCCCAAATTTATTGAGAGTATTTTTTTTTTACTTTCTTATTTTCATAGTTTACATTGATCAATTTTTTACGGTTTAGACTATAAAACATAATTTTTATGCTTCTATGTACTTTAAAAGTTGATCCTTACTCTCAAAATTTTTTATAAAATTTACCAAATTTAAAACTACAACTTTAAAAGTTTTGTTTAGCGGCCACAAAATTGTCCACATAAGCATTGGTGTTTTAGATCCTTAATTCAACTTTTGAGAAAGATAGAAGCTTAAAGAATATGTTTAGAAAAGTTGTTTAAACACAAAATCTAATTCAGGAAAAAGAAGAAGAAGACTTGATTCCAATTTCATCAATCGTCTTTGGCTGGTCCCTTTTTTATTTAATTAGCAAGGTAGGTGAGGCCGTGATGAGAGGGAATCAATTAGACTTCAATCCAATTTCATCTGGATATATATGCATGACTAACTTTGTCTTTTATTAAAAGAAAAAGAAAGAGTTGGATTGATTGAGAGTTATTCAAGATAAGCATCTTCGAAAGGGTCTGTTCATAAATTATGTCAAAAGCTAGCCAGTACTCACAAAAAGATATTTCTAAAATAACCCCACAATCATGCATAATTTTATAAGGTAAACTGTATTTTTAATGCACAGTTCACCTCGTAAAATAAATTTTTTTAAAGTAATTGTATATCTTTTTCTCATTTACTCTTTCTTTTTTGTTAAAACACTTTTTCCAACTCTTCTGTTTGTTCAAATTTTTAAAGTCATGTTTGATTGACTATAATTATTTTTTAGTCAAATTATAATTATTATACGAGATTGAAAAACTTATTTCACAAACTAGGAATAGATACTAAATCTTCATACATCCCAAATTTATCAAATGTATTTTTTTTATTTTCTTATTTTCATAGCTTAGATTGATAAATTTTTTACAGTTTGGACTATAAATAGTTATAAACTGTCAAACACAATTTTTATACTTCTATACATTTTAAAAGTTGATCCTTACTTTCAAAATTTTTATAAAATTTACCAAATTTAAAACAACAACTTTAAAAGCTTTGTTTAGAAGTCACAAAATTGTCCACATAGGCATTGATGTTTTAGATGCCGAATTCAACTTTTGAAAAAGACAGAAGCTTAAAGATTGTGCTTAGCAAAATTGTTTAAACACAAAATCTAATTGAAGAAAAAAAGAAAAAGAAGAAGAAGACTTGATTCCAATTTCATCAACCGACTTTGGCTGGTCCCTCTTTTTTTTTAATTAGCAAGGTAGGTGAGGCCGTGATGAGAGGAATCAATTAGACTTCAATCTAATTTCATGTAATATCCCAAATTTTCGGGAATATTTAAGTGTAAGTTAAGGACTTGATTGTGAGAAAAGATTGTTTAGGGTCTAATGTGAATATTCTGAAAGTTGAGGAACTTAAAGAGGGAAAGATTTTGGATAAGGATGGCTTATTTCTTTTCTCCCTTTTCCTCATTCTTCTCCAGCCCGTTTTTGCTCTTGTCTTCCCGCTGCAGCCCGAGAGGAAAAAAAAAAGAAGGAACCAAGCAAGCCGCCGGCCCCAGCCTTGAGGAAACCGGTGAGAAAGCTTGGATTTCTCCTCCTTTTCTTGTTCTTGAACCCAGAAGTCTCCCTCCCCTGCTGGAAAAGCCGGATCTGCCTTGCTCTGCTTCTTCACCGCCGGCTGCTCTTGCCTTGTGGGGGCGAATTGGCTTGTTTTTTTTGGTAAGAAATAGCTCGAAATTCCCCTTCTCTAGCTTTAATTGCCTTGGGTTTGCCTTAATTGCTCTTGTTCCTCCAATTTTTGGGTAGATCCGTGAGTTTCTCCCCTGCACTACCGCCGGCCTCTTTTCCCCCTGCAGCTCCGGTTTTAGCTGGAGAATTATGGTATGTTGACAGCCATTTAAACTTGAAATTAGCCATCTAATTGCTACCCTATTGTTGTCCGAATTTGGCTGAAAATTGGGGATAATTCCGGTAGCTTTAGGATGAGATTTAAGCATTAATTCAAGTGGGTTTTTGTTTAATTTAAGTGTAAATTAGCTTGATTAGTTGTTGTGATTTTTAGAGAAAATCCTGTGGAATTAGCTAGTGTTTTGGCCAATTTGCGAAAGTCGGGGTTACTGTTCACGGGTACTGTTTACGGGTACTGTTCACACCCGAGGGCCAACAATTAACGGGAATTTAAATGATTAGTTTGTGATATGAGAACGAATTTGGAGATATTTGATCATGTGGAGATTTATGGAAATAACATTGTGATTAGGAATGATCCTAATGATGAGTTTACTTTGAAATTGTGATAGTACGGTATTGATCCTTGAATATTTGATTAGGTTTCTGATCGTTCTGTCAGTTAGCACTGAGATTGAGTGCTCGGTTTATGCGAGGTAAGTAAATTTATGGTAATGCCCGTACTGTTTTAAAAGCATGTTTTGATTTGTTTTTGAAGTGGTGGCAGAACTAAATCCGTTTTACACAAGCATGACTGATTTGAAGTGAAATGTCTTATGCTTTTCATTAAATTGAGCATGCCTACTTGGAATTTAATTGATTGTCTCGATGATTTGAAAGTGATTAATGAATTATGAATTTTCTGTTAACTAATGCCTGTTTTGTCTCCGATACGGTCATGTTATCCTGTTGCTTGCTAGTGGGAGGTCAAACGCTAGCACATGTCGACATGTTCTTGATAGAACCGGTTCATTCCTGTAATCCTGCTAGTGGGAGTTAAACACTAGCAATTTCTGTTGCCTGCCAGTGGGAGGTTTAAACACTGGTCATGACCTATAGAGGAGATGTCTATTTCGTTTCCGTACCCGTATCTGTTTTTCGTGATTGTACTTGTTGGCATGCTACAAGTTTAATTAAGGGCACTCCATATTTTACTTACTGAGTTTATCTCATAGTTTTTCTTTGTCCACCATTTCAGGAAGTGAAACCGAGGATGGGGAAACCACGGGAAGTGACGAGTTAGAAGGCTAGCCATATGGTAATTGGATATGAATTTTAGATATGAATCATGATCTTGTATTTGGAGATTTTATTGGAGATTTTATGATATCAGAGTAAATTTTATAATTTGATCTTCAGATTTTGGTGGTATCAGAATGTGAATTGGATAAGTTCCGAGCCTTGTGCATTTGTGAGACTCGTCTCACGAGTGCACGGCGTCTGTTGCGTCTCGAAATTGGGTTTTGGGGTGTGACATTTCATCTGGATATATATGCATGACTGACTTGGTCTTTTATTAAGAGAAAAAGAGAGAGTTATTTGCTTTGATTGAGAGTTTTTCAAGATAAGCATCTTCAGAAGGGTTTGCTAGTTCATAAATTATGTCAAAAGTTAGCTAGCACTCATAAAAAGATATATCTTTTAAACATCAACAACCTGTTGGTTCGAGTGGAAGGAACTCGGTTTTCCTTAAATAAGGTTTCGAGTTTAAGTTTTGTAAATGGAGAAACAAGTGCTAGGAGAGCTTCTCTTTTATGGGATTTGACCCGATTTGATTTTAGATTAATTGAGACTCAATGTAGTTATTGGATACCGAGAGGTTAATACCAATATATATATATCTTTTAAACATATAAAGTCTAGGTTTGAATATTGTGGTATACTGGAGATCCCATTTAGGCATCCGTAAAGACCGGGAAATTAAAATTTCTAAAACAACCCCACCCACATGCATAACTTCATAGGGTGAACTACATTTTTAATATATAGTTCATCTTATAAAAAAAAATATATTTTTGGTTAAAAGTAATTGTTTCCCTTTTTCTTTTCTTTTTTTCACTTATTTTTGTTAAAACACTTTTTCCAACCCTTGTGTTTGGTCAAATTTCTAATGTCATATTTGATTTACTATAATTATCTTTTAGTCAAATTATAAATATTATACGAGATTGAAAACTTATTTCACAAACTAGGAATAGAAAATAAATCTTCATACATCCCAAATATATCAAGAGTATATATTTTTTATTTTATTATTTTCATAGCTTAGATTGATCAATTTTTTTTATAGTTTGGGCCATAAATAATTGTAAACTGTAAAGCACAAATTTTTTTTTTTTTTTTTTTGCTTCTATCTATTTTAAAAGTTGATTCTTACTCTCAAAATTTATATAAAATTTACCAAATTTAAAACTATAACTTTAAAAACTTTGTTTAGAAGTCACAAAATTGTCCACATAGGCATTGGCGTTTCAGATCTGAAATTTTGACATTTAAAAAGGATAGTAGTTTAAAGATTGGATTTAGAAAAGTTGTTTAAACACAAAATCTAATTGAGGTAAAAAACAAAGAAGACTTGATTCCAATTTCGTTGTGGACACACATGGGTACCGTGTTAAGAAAGAAAGGCAATTTTTCTAAAGGGAAAAAGGCAATTTTTCTCAAGGGAAAAGAAAAAGACCATTAGGAATAAGTTATTTAGTACATCAGATCAAGTTTTTTTAGTTATAAAATATAAGCTCAACCAGCTGTTGTATATTGTGAGGAGACGCCATCTTAAATAATACATGTCTTTTTTTTTAGTACATGGTTGATAAATATTGTAATAAAATTTTATTAAATTATTAAGTTTTTCATATTTAATATGAAGTTAATAGAGAGAATAGTAAGGAGAAAGTTATCAAATGAGTCTTACGTTAAAAAAGTTGAGGGAAAGTTTTCCTTTAAATAATGTAAGAAAATATTGTTTATTGAGAATCGTAAAAAGAAAAAATAAAGGTTAAAAATACAAAATTTACCCTTTATTTAATATTAAAGTGTGAAAATTCTAAAATACCTCTAACCTTTTCACAATAAAGAGCTTCGTATGCCAAAGACGCCCTTAAGGTTCACCCACAAGGCAAAGTGGCTTTGCCACTTGCCTACAAGTGGGGAGGGGGACAAGAAAATCTATTTGCTTCATTATCGGGTAAGAAAAACTAGAAGGGCATTTGACTTTTATTTGCTTCATTATCGGGTAAGAAAAACTAGAAGGGCATTTGACTTTTATTTGCTTCATTATCGGGCATTTGACTTTTATTGGAAGACTATATGCCAGCTTTGTCATTGTCTTTCTCCTTGTCAATGGGCATGTGCTAATTAGAAAACTTAGAATATGTTTGGTTTGAGATAAAGGAAGGAAGCAAAAGGAAGGGATTAATTTTTTAATTAATCAAATTATAATATTTTTAAATAATATAATTTGATTGATAAAAAAAAAAATTCTATTCTTCTCTTCATTTCCTTTTATTTTTCTGAACTCAAACATGTTATTAATTATTATAATATTTTTAAATAATGTAATTTGATTGATAAAAGAAATCTATTCTTCTCTTCTTCCTTTTTATTTCTCTAAAACTAAACATATTATTAATTAGTGCGGTGTCTAACCATGATTGGGGATTTTTATTTTTATTTTTTGAATAGTTAAAAATTTGGGAGATATAGCCTAAAGCCTACAGGTAAAATACTCACGCAAGATTCGAACCCCACTCTTCGTTAGCTGAATTGCGCACTTAACCAGACGGGCTAGTTCCCCAAGTGCATGATATGGGTTTTTTCTTGCGTGAGGCAAATCAACTTGACCTTGCGAGCATTCCTCTCTCTCTCTCTCTCTCCGTAGGACAATTTAAGGGAATTGTTCTCATGGCAACAACACTATAAAGCAATACCCTTCCATTAAGTTCTTATAACAATTTCCTTCTGTCTTGAACCACTATTTCAGTGAGGAAAAACACTGGCCATGATCACTTCCATTTTCACTCACATTCTTCTCTTTCTGGTTCACCTATTTTCTCATGAAATTTTATTCCTCCAAGCAAGTCAATCTGATCCCTATTCAACCAACTTCACCACAACTTGTTGGGAGGTAGAGAGGAATGCACTTCTCAAATTTAAAGCAGGTCTTAAAGATCCTTCAGGCCGTCTTTCTTCTTGGGTTGGGAATGATTGTTGTGCATGGCAAGGTGTAAATTGCAGCAAGCAAACCGGACATGTCACAATGCTTAATCTCAGGAACCAACCTAGTGGTGATTTGGCACCCTTGCAAGGTAAGCTAGATCCTTCATTGCTTGACTTGAAATATTTAAACTACTTGGATCTAAGCTTGAACAATTTCGAACACACTCCAATTCCAAACTTTATTGGTTCATTCACCAAGTTGAGCTACCTTATTCTCTCTAATGCATCTTTTGCTGGATTGATTCCTCCTCATCTTGGGAATTTGTCAAATTTGTGCTACCTTGATCTCTCGTGGAACAATTTTCTTTGGGTTTCCCATTTGAATTGGATCTCTGGACTCTCATTGTTGAAAAACCTTTTTCTAATTGGTGCAAATCTCAATTTAGCAGCAACCAATTGGTTGCAAGCTGTAAACATGCTTCCTCTCTTGGTGCAGTTGCATATTCCTTACTGCAATCTCAATGACCTCCCTCCTTCTCTTCGAGTCGTGAATTTGAGTTCAATTGAGGTCGTCAATCTTCAAAGTAATAATTTCAATTCACCATTACCTAGTTGGCTATTCAATATCAGTACCCTTGTTGAGCTTGATTTGTCATATAGCGGAATTAAGGACACTCTAGACAATGTTGATGCTTGGAAAAATCTCTGCAACTTGAAATTCTTAGCTTTGTCTGGCAATGATATGTCTGGAGAAATAGTCAAACTAGTGGAGGGGTTGTCAAAATGCAGCAACAATAGTTTGGAAGTGTTGGATTTGAGTACCAATGGGTTTGTTGGGCCAATACCTCCATCCTTGGAAAATCTTAAGAACATGAGGTATCTCTCTCTTTCTTGGAATTATTTCTATGGTCCTTTACCAGTTTCTATTGGAAACCTATCATCCTTGAAGGTATTACACCTTTCTTCCAACAAATTGGGAGGAACAGTTCCTGAAACTGTTGGACAGTTGAAAGAGTTGTCTCTTTTATATCTTGGTAGTAATAATTGGGAAGGGGTTGTATCTAGGATTCATTTTCTCCACCTAAAAAATCTGAAAGATTTTGCTTTATCTTCTAATCATGTTGGAGAAAAGTCATTGACATTCCATGTGGGACATGATTGGGTTCCTCCTTTCAGTCTAAATTCCATCATAGTTGTTAACTGCCAAATGGATCTCAAATTTCCTGCGTGGTTCCTAACTCAGAAGGAACTGGCCTACGTTATCCTTTGGAATATCAACATCGAAGATTTTGTACCTGAATGGTTTTGGAAACTAAGTCCACAGATTGAACTTTTAGTTCTTTCCAATACCAGATTACGTGGAAAGCTTCCAAAATCATTAAAATTTGCACCAGGCTCAAAGGTAGCATTGAGCTTTAATTTATTTGAGGGACCGATTCCGCATTTTTCCGATGTCACCTATCTTTGTTTGAAGAAAAACTTACTCTCTGGACCCATTCCAGAAAACTTTGGCCAGGATATGTTGTATTTGCGTTATATGGATCTTTCTGAGAACAACTTCAATGGCAACATTCCTTCTTCCATAAGCATGTTGAAGTATTTAGAGATATTAGATCTTTCCAAGAACAACTTCAGTGGGAACATTCCAAGCTCATTTTGCTCCCTACAGTCTCAGCTTTTATGTTTGAACTTGAATGACAACAATCTTTATGGAAAGCTTTCATCCCTACGTAACTGCAGCAAATTGTTGCAACTTAATCTTGCAAATAATCAATTCCATGGAGGCGTTCCAAGATGGATTGGAGAAAGTCTACCGATGTTGACATTACTAGGGCTGGGAGGAAACATGTTCAGGGGAAAGATACCAAAAAATTTGTGTTTCCTTTCTAATCTCCATGTTTTAGATCTGAAGCAGAATAGTTTATCAGGTTTGATTCCGTCATGTCTAGGAAATCTAAGCAACCTAGTGAATGGTTCTTATAATCTGGGATTCGATTACATGCACTACTTGAGTATGGACCTTATCATTAAGGGACAGA